TTAGGGTTTAGGGTTTAGGGTGTTTAGGGTTTAGGGGTACAAGTGTGAGCCCCAACCCTCGGCTGCAAAGTCACCTTTTGCCCGCGCCCGAAAACCTAGGGGCAAAAGCTTGCCTGAGCGGCCGTGGGAGTTATTTAGGGTTGCGGGTTTAACCCTAAACCCTAAACCCTAAACCCTAAACCCTAAACCCTAAACCCTAAACCCTAAACCCTAAACCCTAAACCCTAAACCCTAAACCCTAAACCCTAAACCCTAAACCCTAAACCCTAAGCCCTAAACCCTGAACCCTGAACCCTGAACCCTGAACCCTGAACCCTAAACCCTCATCTAGGGTTTCAAGCGGAGGTCACAACGGCGTCCTCTCCGAGAGCGAGGTGCCCACATGCCTGGCAGCGGAGAGAGGGCTTCTTGCAGAGCCCCACGAAGCACTAGACCCCGGAACCCTATAATTCGAGAACCCTAAACCCAAAACCCCAAAACGCTAACCCCTAAACCCTATAAACCGAAAACCAACCCTAATTCTTGAAAACCCAGAAGCCCTATAACCCCAAAAGCCTAAACCCTAAACCCAAAACGCTCAACCCTAAACTCCCAAACCCTACAACCCTGAACCCTAAACCCAACCTGAAGCCCCTAAACCCTAAACGTCAAACCCTAAACCCCAAACCCTATAACCCTATAACCCTATAACCCTAAACCCTATAACCCTATAACCCTATAACCCTATAACCCTATAACCCTATAACCCTATAACCCTATAACCCTATAACCCTATAACCCTATAACCCTATAACCCTAAACCCTAAACCCTAAGCTCCAGAGGCAAAACCTCCTACTGGCACTCCAAGAACTTCCGGGTGCCCCAAAAGCCCCAAAATGCAGGTTTAGGGTTTAGGGTTCGGGGTTCAGGGTTTAGGGTTTAGGGTTTCGGGTTCAGGGTTGAGGGTTTGAAGTTTCGTTGTAGGGAAGTGTTGAATCGCAAGTCCTCTTGAAAGCCAGGTTGTTTTAGCGTTTTCAGCTTTTCGATTTCTTACAGGGCTCTAAAACGCTGTTTAGGGTTTAGGGTTTAGGGTTTAGGTTTTAGGGTTTAGGGTTTCGGGTTCAGGGTCTGCGAGGTTGCCAGGACATGCTTCTCAGAATTGCTGGGTTCCCCCTTCCGTACGTGACCCAAGTCCGAAACCAACCTGAACCCTAAACCCTAAACCCTAAACCCTAAACCCTAAACCCTAAACCCTAAACCCTAATCCCTAAACCCTAAACCCTAAACCCTAAACCCTAAACCCTAAACCCTAAACCCTAAACCCTAAACCCTGAACCCTGAACCCTGAACCCTGAACCCTAAACCCTACAGAAGCTTAGCCAAGAGCATCCCTCCCCTGGCCGCAGCTCCAGCAGCTCGTGCTCCACCTCCGCAGCATCCCTAGGGTTTAGCGTTTAGGGTTTAGGGTTTAGGGTTTAGGGTTTAGGGTTTAGGGCTTAGGGGAGTATTGGCTTCCAGGCTCTTCGGGCTTTTTGCGGTTTTAGGTTGTCGGACCAGCCGTAGCCCTAAACCCTAGACCCTAGACCCTAGACCCTAGACCCTAGACCCTAGACCCTAGACCCTAGACCCTAGACCCTAGACCCTAGACCCTAGACCCTAGACCCTAGACCCTAAACCCAAACCCCAAACCCCAAACCCCAAGCCCCAAACCCCAAAGCCTAAACCCTAAACCCTAAACCCTAAACCCTAAACCCTAAACCCTAAACCCTAAACCCTAAACCCTAAACCCTAAATCCCATTCCCTGAACTCTTTTTCACCCGACATGCATTCAAAGTCGCTGAGGCACCGCCAAGTTCGGTAAGTACGCAGCGGAAGGGCCGTAGTGGCCCGGGAGAAGTGGAACCAGGCGATTGATGTGTGCGCTGCTTCCCTAAATCCTAAACCCTAGACCCTAAACCCTAAACCCCTAACCCTAAACCCCTGACCCTCTAGAATAAACACTAAACTCCCCAAACCCGGACACCCCAAACCCCAAACCCCAAACCCCAAACCCCAAACCCCAAACCCCAAACCCCAAACCCTAAACCCTAAACCCCAAAACCCTAGACCCTAAACCCTAAACCCTAAACCCTAAACCCTAAACCCTAAACCCTAAACCCTAAACCCTAAACCCTTTCGGAAAGGCTTTGGGATGCTATACCCAGCTGCCAGGTTCCGTGTCGCTGGGGTCCGCGCAGCGCCCTCTGCGGCGCGCAAGGGCGTCGGCCAGAAGTCGTCTTCTTTTTTAGGGGGGCTTGTTGGGGTTTAGGGTTTAGGGTTTAGGGTTTAGGGTTTAGGGTTTCGGGTTGGGCACGCATCAGACCGGGCGGCTCTTTGTAGCCCCGGCATTTTCTAGGGCAGCGACCCTTTGAGTCCTGCCGGGTAGCTGCAGCTGCAGGCTGCAGATGTGCAATGCCTCCATGTTCACCGGCCCTTGAAGAACATGGAAACTCTGAACCGCAACCATAGTAGCTGAATGA